TCTGGGAAGATTCTTGCTAGAGGTTGTAGCTAATAAACATTGCTGGACTGAATTTACATGGCCTCCTGGAGTTCCTTGGGCTAGGCCTGACATCAATCTTCCCAGACTGAAACTCCAGCTCCCAAGTAATACCAGTCACAACACTATGAATTCCTCAGGGAGGTGCCAGCCTCATCCTCTTATCTCTCCCTTGCTCCTCAGGAGATGAAAGAACATGTTTTCCTCCCTGAGTCTGGCCTTCATAATTCCATTCCATCACAGTTACCAATATATTATTTTCCCTCTGTGCTGCCTTCAGCTAATTACAAGCCCTGGGCACCCAGATTCCTAGTACCCAAGCTAATTCCTTGCTTCTCATGGCAAACCCCTACTACCAATTTTGTCCTTTCCCCAACTTTATCACAATCCACAAATAACATGAGATTCTGAGAAAAAGATGCAAAGGAACTTTCTAAAATCACATTGCCCTCATTATCCAGCTGTCTAGATAAGGTGCTGTATCGTATTCTTGCTACGAATATCATAAAACAACTTAATCTCAGTTTATCCACTATAGTAGTTGACCTTAATGAAGGTTCATGTAATACCAAAGCCAGATAGAAAATATCAACTAATTTGGTGCCCCCACCCCCAAAAGACACCAAGGACTGTACAGTAGCATGCTGATCAGAAGCACAAATGAAAGTTGTAAGAAGATGGAGATTACTCCAACAGGTGAAACAAGATATCAGATAGATTCTGAAAGCACTAATAGGGACAAAATTATAAATAAAAAATTAGCTATTCTGGAAGAAGATCCATTTTTTCCCTTATTACAGCATAGTTTCGCCTTCCGAATCGGTGTTCCCCAAATATGTTAGGACTTTAAATACTTCAAATTCTCAATCAGCATAAGATGATCCCTAGGTCAGGTTACACTAAATTGGGGAATTTGAACTGTAACATACATGAACAACTCCTTCATACAATAAGAAACCTATAAAAAGTATGCTGCAATCCATAACTTGTAATCAAAATGGTTCTCTAAGAGTGATTGTTAGTATAAATATTGGATTAGTTCTTGTAAATGCAGATGCAATGAGCAAAGGAACTGGAGGGCACAACTCTGGGATGCCAGTGCTGACACAAGCAATGGAAAATCCCCATAAAGACATATCATATGATTCTCACGAAAGCCACTTTCAGAAGTTTGTCTCACAGGTTCTGTCAATGTGTGCCAGGGCTCACTATCTAGCTTTCCTCTGACATCACACAGACTGGCTTCTACCATATTCTAGCAAAACAAAATTCTACAGCAAACCTTTATACCTAGGGTTGAATATGCAAAAGATTTTTTTTGTAACTACTCTGCAAGTTTTATAGATAAGGACCAGAATGCTGGGCAAGCTATAACATGTAACATCAGGGCTGGCACTAATCTGGGGCTCTTGCAGTAATATAAAGATTAAGTAAAATTTCTGATGGGAACTGAGGGGCCTCCTGACCTATAAATTATTAATATATGAAACTAAGAAATGTAATAATTTTCATCTTTATGGTAGTAACATTTGCACAATTAATTAATATGCAGTATTTCCTCCTTTTTACTTTACTTCCGAAGATCTAATATTTCTCCTGATAATTTTAGGTAAAACTTTCCAAGAGGAAACTACATTCTCCAGCATTCAGAAAACAACTTGAGCTACAGCCAAAGAAAGGAAGATTGAAAACACCATAGAAAATTGAGGAGGGCTGCTGGAAAATATTCTGACACTTATGATTTCTGACCATGAAAGTTACACAGGTGAAGAATTATGAGGATACTAAGAACAATCTAGCCAAGTATTTTAATCTCAACTTTCTTTGCTCATGCAAAGAGCAAAAGAACAACATTTTCATTGCTAGTTTCCTGACATGATGTTTCAAGTGAGAAAACCAGAACTCCAAACATTGTCATACACACTTACTGGAATAAAAATAGATTGGGATTTACCATGCAAAAAACTGATCTGTACATTTTGAAGAATAATTACAATAGTGCCATCTAACAGGCTTCCTTAGGCACGCATGAACTAGGCAGAGATGCCAGACAGGCTTTGTCACAAACCCCACTTTTACAATAAGTGGAAATTAGACTTTTTGCATCTTTGCTTGTTCTGGCTTTCCTCTTGTGTTTTTAGCACAAAAAATTGTAGAAAATGTCAGTGAAGTAAAGTTTTTTGTTTTCATTCGCATTGTTATAACTAGGTTTATTGAAGATAAATACAGGGAGATTCAAGATTGATCAAAGGAAATATTTCTTCACACAGTGCCTACTATGGCAGTGGTTATAAAAGTGTATCTGGGGACCCCTAGGGATCCCCAAAACCCTTTCAGGTGGTCTGCAAAGTCAGATAAATTAATTAATTAATTAAAATTTTTATTGTAAACTGCCCAGAGTCTCTTCCTCGTGAGTTGGGCAGTGTCCAAATTTGAAATATAAATAAAATAAATTTTTAAAATTATCAGTGTTAATTTCTAATACAGTAAATATTGATAGATATAACCCACATAAACCAAAGCTCTTTGGGGTGCTCAATCATTTTAAGAATGTAAAGAGTTCCTGAGACCAAAATGTTTGAGAACCACTGAACTATGAAATTTGCTGTGAACAAATGTGGTGATAGCCACCAATTTAATTTTTTTTAAAATTCAAGAAAAATAGGACTATCAATTGGCTGACTATTATTGATGATGGTCATATACTACATCTGGTATTAAAGGCTGCATACTTTAATATCAGTTCCTGATACTAGAAAGGAAGATCATTCATATGTCCTACTGGTGAAGCTCATAGATGCATCTGATTGACCACTGGGTAATACAGAATACTGGACTAGATGGCTTTGGCAGGATCCAGCAGGACTCATTTTATTTAAGATAAATCATATTTAGGTACTTTTAAGCATGGCACCTAAATATTAAGCAGGTGAAATTTATTCCACTTTTCTTTCATTTCTGTATACCAGAAAATTGCCACCTATTTAATTTCTTCAGTGCCATGCTTTGGGGTTATTTTCAGAATGGTCTCACCTCTAGAAACAATGCAGTCTAAATTCCTGAAGACAATGTTTCCCATTCCCAAGAACATCTTAATGCTGCTTTTGACTGAAGGCTGGTCTAAGGACTCATGTTTGGCTGGTGAACATTGGTGATCTATGGCTAAAGCTTAACTTCTATCTAGTTGGCCTGACTCTTTTACTAATCCTTAATAAATTTCAGTTGCCAGGAAGAGCAACCTATTATATGAATTGTCATCTTATGGCCTCTCCTTAGAGCTTTTGCTGCCCATGAACTACAGTTAACCCAGGATGCTTCTTAACTAGTGAATCTTGGACACTGAACAACAAAATGAGATAAACCTGGTCTCTAACTTTATTAAGTCCTGGAAATTGAATCCAGGGCTTCAGACAGCTAAATACCTTGCCTCCCTGGAACTTTCTAATCATCCTAGAGCCTTCTCTTAAGCTTAGCTTAATGTCTTCCCATTTTCCCTGGTGGAAGGCAAATTTACTAGGATTCATTGTGAGGAGCATATCTGCCCTTGTGATTCAAGTACGGGAGAAAAAGGGATGTTTTGCTACACTGTGATTTCTACAGGGATCTGCATCCTAAGCTTAAAATACTCTTTTTAGTAATTTTTCCAGGCTTTACTAAATATTACTTTCAGTCAAGCAATGTGCAGCTAACTATAATGTAACTAGGTTTTGTGTGGTGGCACACAAAGTATGGCAACAGATAACAAGGGGGCACCACTAAAACTAGTAGTTCAGCTTCCTCGCCAGCTGTAGTGCATTATTTTTACTGCTTTTATTTTTACAATCTGCTTTACTTACTGCAGTGTTGTCCAAACTTGGCCACTTTAAGATGAGTGGACTTCAACTCCCAGAATTCCCCAGCCAGCCATGCTGGCT